GACTAATAATTTCATTAGGTTCAACAAAGACAAGTAGTTTTATTACGTCGGTCATCACATAAAATATAATAATAATTTGATGTTAGCGCATTCCGTATCATAAACAGATATAATAAATAACCACCCATTATTAGACGAAAGGTAGACAGTCACGGATAACGGACTTTACACTTTAATCTAATTTAGCTGGAGCTAGTCATTATCCGAGTATCTCGGATGATAATCTAGTATTTAAACTATGCATCAGCTACTACGGAATAATCGAGTGACCAGTAACCATAATATCTTTTTATATTTGTACAAAATCGCATAATATTTATTATTTGTACATAACCTCTTTCACTAACAAATTTTTGTCTTCACAGGTGCCAACTTTTTTCATAGAGACGATTTTTTAGACATTTTAGTAAGCTTTCGATTGGTATAATCAAATTGAGGGCGACTCTTCCGGAACGTTGTCAAAAATTGACATAACTGCCGCCGGTTTCGGTCGGTTGGCAATATTTTTGTGCACGGGTTTGGCGGCTCATGGTGGCCGCAAAACCCCAAATGCCATTTTTTTTTTAGGTTAAATAATATACTCTTACTGTTTTGTCGATAATTAGTATATATTTTAATTGATTAAGTCGATTTCGTATAATAATAATCGTCGGTATATGGGGATATATGAACTGCCCCTTAGAATAATTAGAGTATTGGCAACACAACATACACCAACGCCATGACACTCACTGTTATCAAATATTGCTGGCTCGTTTATGGCTAACTTCACACACGTACTTTGTACCAGTATACTTGTGGTTGTTGTCATTTGTGATGAAATACATTGGAAAACACATCTATGCCGATCTTGAAAATTATTGTACATTGAAGTTTTCACTTATCAGTTATGGCAGATCACAGATATATCATATAAATAATAAATTGAAAACTAGTTGCCACCGGGATGGCGGAAAGTGGCTGCTTCAATCTTCTCTATTGGTGGTATATACAGTTAGCAATCTAGTTAATTATATATATCTGTGTGGCAGATTTTGTATTCTTATCACAAACTGATACCAGTCTTGGTGATATCTTGGTCGTGGTTTGCAGGTATTATGCACGGTTAATATATTTTAACAGTGGTTCTTATTGGCGTATTCAATGATTAGAGAGAGAGGTATGAGTATTGATTTGTGACAATGTACTCAAAATTCAATGTGTTATTATATAATAAATATAATATATTATTTTTTATTTAGTGTTACTTTTTACATTTAAATTGGTTTTGTACCTAAGTGCCAAGTGGTTAGTTAAGCTGTAAATAATTTTTGTTTTTTTTTCTAGATGAAAAAATACTATCCGTGTAATTTTTAACGAAATTAAAACAAGACTTCAAGCTTCGGCCTTTGCTGGTTTTTAACAGTGTTTTTATTAAAAAACTACCATTCGATTCTATATACAGCTTAACCAAAAATGAAAATGTTCCTCAACTTTTTGAAAAGAACTTACCTACATTTTTACCTCTCAAAGAGAATTTCAATAACTTGAAAATTTTAAATTATGTAAATTTTAAAACAACTCTAAGGTGGTATAGTTAGCCTTATCAGTATAAAAATCATGAAAATATGATATAGATTCATATTTTAAACAAAGGCTACTACCAGCTAATCCAACTTCAGTTTTGAACTTTTGAACAAGTTTTAGTCGTTTCCGCTTTATTATCATTAATAATTTTCTAATGAAATGAATGAATATTAATAAAAAAATATTTTTTGGCCACCTAAATCCTATGTTAATAATTATGTATTCGTTGCGTCCATCAAACTATCATAACGGTTACCATATATTATCTATGGTGGTATTATGAAGTATGGTAGGTCATGATAATACAAAAACAACTCTAAAATGCAATTTTAGTTGCTTATTGTTTAGCGCCTTAAATAAATACAAAAAATTCACCACAAACAAATTGAATTATTAGTTCGTACTTCGTAGTGTACTGTGTCTTCAAGCCTGGCAACTGTTTTATCAATAATTTTATTGGTCCCATTTTGATTCAGTTAATTTATCATTTATGTTAAAAAACATTTCGTTAACATTATGCAGTATAAAAATGTTCACGTCATCTTAATATTGTCAATTTTATGTTATTTTAACTTTTAAGTGTTATACCTGTAGTGTTTCTATATTTTCAATGGAAGTTGAGTGGATTTCACCAGAAGATCCTGATCGGAAATTAGTAGGAAATAAACATAATACAGACTAAGCATATTATACAGACGTCATAGCTATTTACACGATTTCGATGAACCGGTTTTTTAACTACACGACTGGTAAAAATCTTCCTCGCCAATAGTCGTGTCATTGTCAAAAGTAAAAACAGTTTTTTTAACTAATTGTTTATAAATTATTCGAAATTCACTCATCTGAAAAGATAATGATAGTAATTTGCCATCTGTATATCGACTGCCGTCACTCAGTCACGAATCAAAATGGTATAGCTATACACCTGACCTATAGGTGGATTAAATACTAATTATAATGGTTAAAGGTTTGTTGTCATGCTTCTTCTTTGAGTAATGCGTAGCAGTGGATCGAGGCTGTCGTAGTTCGCTATTCATCTACAGTGTATTATATATTATGTTTATACATATAACAGATGGCCGAGAAGAGGATGTCGAGTGAACCATGGGAACATCGCCTGGATCACCTGAGCACCCTCAGGACTTTTCAACAAGCTCATATCGGTCGCTTTTTGCTAAATATTACGATGGGGCACCATTTCATTTTAAAAAGGTAATGGCAATTTTCAGCACAAAAAATAGTAGAAAAGGTTTCTCTTTCTCATGAAACTTAATATAAACATCTTAAACGATTTTGGGGTGCTAAGCACACCAAAGCTTCCCCCAAATTGCGCCTATGCTACTGGACAAGTCGTTTAAAACAAAGAAAATTAATAACTAGAACATCCTCAGGCCTAGTTTCTTTAAAACACCACCTTTGCGTTTATCACAGTAGTAATTACTATAGTCCAATTTATTACGTTAACTAACAGTAAAGTAAATAAAAAACAAAAATATGCCAAGTACGAATAACTCATAAATACAATTTAATGACAAGTGTTAACAATTATTTATATATATATATATATATATATAATATTATGTACCTAGGAATGGATTCAATATTTATAATTTCAGGATTATTGTATTGCATAAAACACATAACAATAATTATTACTTTTAAACGGCGAATGTTGGTAATTACTTTTTGCCATTTTAATGACTTACAAAACAATAAAGACTGCTAACAGAGTTACCTATTGAGAGTTTTTACTCAAATTGTAAATAATTAATAATTTTTAAGTGGATAGTTTTCTAAATTACAAAATATAAATTTTGCAATTGAGAGCTGAGAACTTATTTTGTATACGTCAGATTAAAAGTTGTAATTTTTTTTTTCCATCGTTATTCTAAATGTAAAATTATACCGTTATGTCTGTTTTATAGTATGAGTAATAACGATAAAATTTCCGAGTTTCTGATTTTACTTCATTCAATTTCGCTGTTAAATAATCGCCGGCAATTCAGTTCAGTGAAATTTAGATAATTTTTTTAACGGTTATAGTTTTATATCTTCCTTAGGTCCAAATCCTCTGGGAATTTCTTTAATTTAAAAAAAACATTTTTTGATTACTTTTGTTTAGAAATTTATCTTTTTCAATTGAATAATACAGCGAGTTGCAACTTATCAATCGCTTCATTCAATTGTGGATATTTAAAAGATTTATGTTTTCGCAGTAAACACACTAACAAGGTAATCTTGGAATTTTGTCGATACATTTTCTAAAAGTATATATTATTCCAAACGTATAGTACTGTGATCGGGTAATTGAAAATGAAATTGAATTGGACCTGAAACAAAACTCAATTTATATCTATGTGATTATTATGTAATCGTTTGTTATTGTGTGCAAAATAATCGATACACTTTTCGATATTACTCAAGAGAGAAATGTGCGAACACATTATTCGCAATTAGAAATGTATTTCTCTTTTGAATTTTTCTTTCTTACTAGCCTAAAGCTGTTGTTTTTATTAGTACATTTTTACTTTAAAAGTTCCCACTTGCAAAAGTAGTCTTTGAGCACATTAACTATTGCATTTAAAAACACTTTTAATTTGAATCGTTAATTTGTTTAATGTTTGTTTTGCATTTTGTAGTTGTTTAAACCAAATTTCGAATTAAAGAGTTATCATACAAAATGATTGTATTAAATAATAATAGTACAAAATTCTGATAAAATACTAATTATATTGGTCATTTCTAAAAGTTTTTATAAAAAAATTGAATTCGAATTTGAATAAATGAAAGCCTAACCAAACTTAACTGTAATTTGCCTCGTGAGACTTCGTCCTATAGTAGTGGAGTACGTTTGGTAGATATTTAAGTATGTAAATTCATTAGGTCGTCAATTACACATTACTTGGGCTAACCCTTCACTGCATAATGTTCCATACATGGAACAATTGTATTTACTGTTTATATCTGCTCATGCTATACATCTTTGTATGCACAATGTTCCATAATGTTCCAAATTCTTTAATTAGCGTTTTCCATGAAACCAAAACTCAAAAAAAATTTATTTTTATTTTTTTAAGTAGTATTTAGTACACTTATAGCATATGGTTAAAAAAAAATCCATGCAGTGAAGGGCTAATAGTATAATATTTTTAAATTTTCGTCGAGGTTCTAAAACAGCCATGAAGTCATGTTTATAGTAATACAGATTTATTGATATTGATAGTTTGGGAGCGACCAACTCTAGGTATAAATTATTGTATCTAGAGTACCATATTTCAGTTTGCCTATAGTTCTCATTGGTCGGAATGGGGGGGGGGGGCTGTGTATCGTAAAACAAAGCACGGGGATAAAAAGTAGGCATTCCAACGAGTAAACGAAAATAATATGAATGAGAGCGAGAGAGGGAGAGCGAGACACGGGAAGAAACGAATCTAGTGAAATCGGAAGTATATCAAGTCTGCAGCTCGTTTGTTCAAAGCATTTTAAAACGTCCACTACGACTGTGCATTGTGATTTTTTTTAAACATTTTATTTTATTGTAACTAGTGATATTTTTCAACCATTCTAACACGGTTTTATTAACTTAGAAGTCAACTGGACGTCGCGTGTACATGTCGATAGTTCTAGTTAGATACCTAACCTAACCGTTACTCAGCCGTGCAAAACCGGTAAGAATTTTGTACTATTTAAATAACACCTAAGGTTGGTTAAATTCAGCTGACGATCCTTTGTTCGAGGCTTTATAATAATTGGCAGGTATACCAATATCTAGAATTGTTTAGTATAGTGTAAGTAGAAGTTTCGAAAGAGGACAGTATTTACTGCAAGTACCTACACGTTAATTTCTTTTACGTTATCCACAATTTTCAAAAAAAGTTAATGTTTAAATAATATAACGTAGGTAAAGTGGTTTGTTATTAATTAAATATTACATTTTACAAGTGGGTAAACTAATATTTATCTTCGATATTTTATTAACTATAAATATCACATTTTGGTCTATCAGTTTTTGGTGTAGTTAAAGTTAAAACAAATTTGAGAACAAATTTTGGACGAATTTCATTAAGAGTGTTTTGCTATTCGAACAAATACTTTACAGTCTACACTATTTTGCAATGAAAACTGATTTACAATATTTAAAAGGTAAACAATATATTTTTAACGTGAAAAACCGCATCATATTTTCGATAACTAGAAATTCTTGATAGTTGGCCAAAATTCATTTGTATTCCCTCGGAATTTCAGTTGTACAGTTTACATTGTATAACCATAACTGAAAGTATTATTATTATTTCTGTATTACGGAAAATATAGACAATAGGTTCTAAATGTATAATTTTAAAAAATATGCCTCTTCAGAATATCCTTTAGCCTAAAATTTGCCACGTTTTTACTTTTTGAGTAACTAAGTTTTATCATAATATTATTTATGATTTGTTTTAAATTAAATATATTTTCCATAATCGGACATCCGTTTAACACATTTAATAAACATATTTTTTTTTACTTAGTTGTTAAACGAAGTCTGTTAATTCCAGAAAGAGTAACTCTCAATCAGACAATAAAAATGTATTTTATACTTTTGTTTATATTGTGTAAAATAATTCGGACGCTGGAGAATAAATTTTGAAAAAAAAAATTGTTTGTTAGTAAAATGTGACTTTGCCCGGTACTTTACCCTGATAGCCAGGTCATTGATTATTACTATTAAAACGTGATTTTTATTTCAGTTTGAGATTATTTATTCCAATCTTAAATTTATACTATCAATGTACCGTGTCAATTCTTTAAGAAGAAAATATAAATTTACTATAAAAATCAGTGTTTAAAATACTATCCATTCACACCCCTTTAATTTTGCTTTCCAATTATCGATTTTGTTAGCTATTTCGCTTACATCCAAATAAACAAGTATGTTCATATGTCGGTGTACAAATTTTGCAGATCGCATACGAAAATTTCAAATTTTCTCTTTTTGACGATAATAATTATTATAAAACACATGTCAGGATAGTTTTTGGTTATTCACGACGTTCCATAATAAACAGTGATGTAGTTTACCCCCAAGGTGTAGGTATACTAATTCAAATATTGTTATTATTATTATATTTGTTCGACATTCCTGAGAAGATGCAAAGTCAGAAAACTTTCATACGACTATATTATGACTATGACGATGACCCGTGCAAAAAGTAAAAACGGTCGAACGGCTTAGACTTCCGTTGTCCAAAGTCATGACCAAATATTTTAAACCACTCGTACACAAGATAAACGATTGCTAGTCGTGTATTAACATAGTCACCCCGTCCGGTAAATTATCCGAGTGGAGAAAACTGCTCTGGTCAGTAACGGTCGGATTCACAATCGAACGCTAGCACTGCGTTATAATATATGCTCATTAAGTTTTATTGTCAGTCGTTAAACGCGTCTCCCGAATGATTATTTGGAAATTTTTCTTCTTCGCTATACAAATTTTAACCGTCGCTTTGTTTATCGTTCATTTTTTATGATAATATCTACAGTGTACACACTACGTACACATACGATGAGCAGAGGGTCGCTTTCACCTCTTTCGGTAGTTCTAATAATAATAATAATAATAATAATCATAACAATATTTATCGTCCCGGATGTCACCGACACCTCGTTGAATGTAATATTTTTTATGCTTGCCGCAGTCCGTACATTGTCATGTGCTCATCACAGATCGGAGAAGATAATAATAAAAATAACATCACTATAATATTATAGTGTACAATACATAATACACTGCAGTACTTACCGGCTCCGTAAAACGACCGAAACGCCATGTAATTATTACATATTACACTTTGTCCGTCATTGTTGTTATGTGAGATGTTTGCTATAGTTTTTTTTTTACTCTAAAAAAATAACCCATCGATTCGAGACGGCACGGCGCGGTGGTTGCCGGCAAACCTGCGAAAAAGACTTTTTTTTAACGAAGGCAGCCCAGAAACACACAAACTGCGGACATTGCAATTGAAAAACAACACAAAAATCATCCCAAAAAAAAATTACCAACAACAAATGACTTCTGATCTGCCAAAAAAATTCTATCTAAATAATTGGCAAAACGAGTTATTTATATTAATTTTAGATTAGTTGTTCCGTTACATTGTTTTATCTTGTCTAAGCAAATCATCATTCTTTATGTCTATGTTAGTTATTTAAGAAGCAGCGTGTGTTGTGAGGCAATATTCATTTTTGATTTCAATAAAATATTACTAGACTGAAAAAATGATTAAAATAAAAATATATTCGAATTTTTGTTTGTTAGTTTATTCGAATAAAAAAATTATTTGATTGATTGATATTTTTTTATTCCAATTAATACATTATTTAATTTGTTTTTGCATTCTGGCTTCTGCAGCTTTTCAAGACTGGTGGGCTCAGTAGTCGTTAAGAAAAATGTGCTAAAATATATTAAATGTGTTTCTATTGTGTTCAAATAGTTTTACCAATGGACTTAATTTTTCCCCAATACAACGTCGAGCTGTCTCGGAGCTGGCGTTCGTCATAATTACTCGATCTGGGTCAAATCAGCGACGCAAACAAAATATTATAACGTACCAGAATTATTATTATTATCATCATAATGAAAACAAACGTTGAAGACAATAATGTGTGGGTTGCGCAAGATCCTGCGCTGGAAAAAAAGAACTGAAACAAGGCACAATATAATGACTACATATAATGTAACATACGGTTTTAATAATAATAATTATACACTTATACACGCCGAAACCGCTGGCCGGCCAGCCGAAGAACATGCGGTACGCTCAGCTGCTCTGATATACATAGTATAATATATTCATAATAATATAGGTAGCGCCGGCTTGCATTGTTCTTGGCGGTCTTACAGTGTTTGGTTAGACCCATTTTGGTTTATCGTCGTACCGAGGTCGTTATAGCAGAAAAAAATAAAAAAAACGTTTTGCGAAATTTTCAAACGTGACGTTCGAATGGGAAATCTTCGAGTCGGTTAAGTTAGGATCCATCGTTCAGTCGTGAGTTTTTTTGAAAATTTCGCAAATCTGATAAACAGCCGAACCGGGGTCGAATCGTTTTTCGAGTTCTGACCTTACCCGACCTCGCCAACATATCGCAGAAGTGTACTTACGATTCCTCTGCATTGTTATCCATGGCGACCCTCCGGGATTGCCCCCAAAACACCTTGGCAATATCGTCACTATGGATGATGAGCTTGACCGCCATGTCCTTTTTTATTATTAATTAGCGCGAGAGTAGCTCATCGACGAACGAGTGAAAAATGTTATTTTCTCAGACGAGACGACGATTATATAAAATAATAACCAATAAAAAAAAAAACAACTAGACCAAACGGGATTTTATCTGATCACGACCCGTGCCTTATATATTATTGCGCTGTACCCACGCTTTACAATACACACATATTAGAAACGTAGAAACAAAAACTTAATAAATCCGTCGTCGCGGCCGCTGTGCACTTATTACTTATACACTTTATACTTATTATTATCGCGCCGACTTCATCTGTGTAGCGTCGCGTACACATGCGTGCGGTCCGGACGACACGACAAACAGACCGTGACCGTCTTAGTGCATTTTTTAATACACACTACAGTAATAATAATAATAATAATAATCACATTACGGTTTTATCTGTTGCAGGGCTCAGCATAGCGTATTTTATACCACATCCAACGATATGACGACCACGACCACGACCACGATGGGGCGACCGGTGGTCATCGTACCGTGTCTACTGGTGTTGCTCTTGTCGGCGGTACGTGCGGGTCATTCCGTTCACGATTCGGACGACCATTATGTAAGTAGTAGATACAATATAAAACAGCACAGTTTAACACAGCCTATAATATTCATAAGAGTACAGTGTACAGCACGCTACCTATTGTTTTCATAACGAGGGTGTGTATTTTTCTCCATTTTAAAATTCCCTATTCTTCTCTGGTTGCAAGTAATTCACGATCGCGTGCAATAATAATATGACAATGTCGTATGGCCATACCGTGTTGGCCGCCATATATAGGCGCGGTTATTGTAATTGTTTTTTTATTACTATTGCAATTGTCGCGAATGGCAGTCGATTAGACCAAAACCTAGTCGGAGGCGAGCGAAATTAATCTAAGATAAATCTCGCCGAGAGATTGACAAATTTCCATAAGTCATCGTCAACGTACCCAAAATGTCCCTAACTAGATTGATATAGCGTCTGTCCCAAAACGACTCTGCCCCATTGGCTATGAAGATTGCAGATAAATAAGGTCTAGGTAACAGCGATGAACGTTGGAGAAGCAGAAGAACGCAAAACAACATGACCGGAGAAATAATACAATAAAAAATAATTATTTTTATAAATTAGTTTTTTGAAAATTCTGAGCGCGCTAAGCATCCTTTTAGTCGCGTCCACGTTACCAAGGCTTCTCCTAGAGACCTCGAAGGATTCTTTTGTTCCCACTGTTGTTTGAAACAATATTTTCTCATACGGCTTTCAATCACGATCCAAACACTGTAATTCGGTCCATCGATCATAATTGATAATATTACTCTGCGGCCAGTCGATCATAATTACATTATCATCGTCGACCCGATTAGTAGCCTATCTGCGAAATAATCATACTGATCAGTGATCTATTGTACACACGATAATCGTGGCCCTTGGAAATAGTTCCCGGCAGTTAGTCCGGTAAAATAATAAACTTATTCTTGACCTGACGGACGAGGGCGTATTTCTTGTGTTTTATCGTATGAAAACCCTATAAGCTACACAAATTGAGCAACCAAATTCTCGCCGTGTAATATTATTGTCTACGGCCCAAAACCAGTTTCGATAATGTAATTATAATAATTATATTCTAAACGTGTTGGCGTTTCTAACGGGACAGCGTGTATAGTTTTCGCGTTTCAATCGAATCCTAAATCTAGGAAATCTGAAAAATATCAGTTTTATCAAATATATATACACAGCTGGGTTTTTAGAGCAAATTTCATAAACAACGTAACTCGACGATTATATTATAGGCTAAAAATATTATGACACACGAGTTATCAAGTGATAGAACCGATATGTCTGAAATTCGGGTTACTCGTAAGTAACTCATTTCAAAATATCATAATCTTACAAAATTTACTCTTGTGGTTTTGTTTTTTAATTAAGCAATTATTAATTTTTTACTTTCAAATTATTATTAAAATTACCATTATAGCCTGTTTATACACGTCTCTAATGCCCCCCTCCCCTTAAATCCGGGCCTGCGTTTAGGCGTCGACGATTCAGACCGTTTATGATTTATTTAGTCGTATTAGTAAATAATTTATGATATAAACGAAATCAAAGTGTTTGGAATGTTTGTATTTTCAGAGCGTGCCCAGCTATCATTTTAACTACGGCGTCAAGGACTTGCACACGGGTGATCTGAAGAGCCAATGGGAACGCCGCGAGGGCGACGTCGTCAAAGGTTCGTACAGTCTGATGGAACCGGACGGCAGCATAAGGACGGTGGACTACACGGCCGACAGCCACAACGGGTTCAACGCGGTGGTGACCAAGAGCGGCCACAGCGTCCACCCGAGCGGACACCATTACCAGCAGCCGGCGGCGTTCAAACCGTCACCGCCGTCCAAGTACCCGCCGCCACTAAACCGCTACTACCCGCAGCAGCAGGTGCAGCAGCAACAGCAGCACCAAAAGGCCGTCGCGTCCGTCGACTACATCGCGTACCTCAACAACGGCCTGGACGCCGCCGCGGCGTACGCGTCGCCAAAGTACTACTCGCCCGCCCCGCAGGCGCCTTCGCCCAAGCACTACTATCCCGCCCCTAAATACTACTATTACCCGGCGGCAGGCCCGTCGGCCGAACCTCTTCTCCCGTCGCCGTCGTCCACGGTGTCGGCGTTCGTCGCCAAATCCGGGCCCGTCCTGTTCCCCGCCGACAACTCCACTTCGGCCGCTTCGGACAGGCCGTCGCCTTCGCCCACGCCCATAACTTTGCTCAAGTACGAACCCGAAACCGACAACGGGCAGTTATACGGTGATTATTACACGTGAGCCTGTCCGCGCACCATCTTCGCCCGTGTACATAAAAATAACGAATAAGTCCTTTAAGCGAGTCCGCGCCTGCCTAAGTCTTGGTTGCTTTCAAAATTGTGCTACTTCCACAATTAAAATTCAAAAACGGATTTCAGTAGATTTCGTTCTGTTCCACACTATGGTAATATTTCTCAAGTGTCAGCTTCTGCCAAAATCAAAAATACTCAAACGAAACAACACAGCCGTCGCTTAAACAAATCGCGTGACCGCACAATAATAAATTATTATAATATCCCATAAATGTATAAGGTAAAAACCGAAGGGAGGGGGAAGGGGGGATAATCGAGCCAAATATACAATTGTTTTTAATTTATGTATTTCTATGTAGTGAAACTTAATATAGTATATTATAAAACTAGTTTGATCGTAGCGTTAACGTGTAACGAAGTGCAATATTTTTTTTTTTTGTTATTACATTTAAGCTTAATATTATAAAATATATTATTTAATATTATTATCTATTTAAACTATTTTATTTTTTTTTTTTGTATTTTGTAATATTATATAATTTTAATAAAACTATTTTTTTTCTCCAAATATCAATAAAGAAAGTAATTTTTTCCATATTTACCTTATTTAGTTTTTCTATGTCTTATCCCACACCTAAACCAGGTTAGAAAACGTCCGAGTACACGAATAAGTTAATTTTAGCAGGCTTGAGCTATCCAAATTGAGTAGCAATTTTCTATCCGCCAGAAGAAACCATTGCAACCAAACGGCGTCGTTCCGTTGAGACTAGAAAGTTGAGTAGTTAAAACTAACGAGTAGCACTCGGCGAGGGTCAATAATGTAGATTTTCTCGGATGGTCAGCATTTACAGTTATAACAGAAATATCGTTTTGAGTTTTTATGGAAAAAAAAACCCGGACCGGCCGATTTGCTCAAGAGTTATGTGAATATGGCGTAAGCCCGTGAGTGTTTTTTTCAGATTGGCAAAAAACAGATTTCTATTTTCAGAGGAACTGAACCTGTGCGAATTCGCTGGTTCCGTTCATTGTGCGCGGGTTGGAATTAGCGGACACACCGTTATGCAACTTGTGTGTACAGTTTTTAGCTTACATCTACGACTTGGGAGTGCGTCGAACTTGGACTGAAGTAAACCAAGCAAGGGCAATCTCGCCAGACGTTTTGTACACCGGTCTAACGGTTTCAATAGGTCGTGCACGGTGTACTTAAGTGTGTACTCCGTTTAGGCTAAAAATGTCCGCAGTTCGGGGCAACAATTAGTCGACTGGTTTACCGGCGATAAGCCGGCGGCCAAAGTATTTAGTTATAATAAATATAATATCAATAGCGGACCCGCAGCGAGGCTTGTAGTGTGCAAACAGCCAAGGCCCAAGTGTAACGCGCATACCATGTAATTATAGTAATATATATTGTGTAGTATAGACTTCAGCCAGAAATATCTAATAATACATACATGTTTGTATCGTGTATAATAGTAGTGTAATACTATTACTATGCGGACTAATTGTGTAATGAATTCGAGTAGGTAACCGCGCGGTCGGTCGTAACCGGATGCGTTTTTCCGGGTTTTATTTGGATTTTTTTTTTTTTTGTGCGCACGTTCAACACATATTTTATTACTGCTTCACAACGCGACCGGTTTCTGTTGTAATAATAATTATATTATTATATTTATTCTGATAATAATAAAGCGATCGAATGATAAATGTCAACAGACAGACAACAAACAGCAAGCACGAATCCGATCACCGATTAGGTTCGGTTCCCATCAAAGCGGTACGCATTATAAACGTCTCATACGTTCATAAACACTTAGGTTACTTCGTTTTAATGACAATTATCATCATGATGGGTTTAGTTAAGACCAAACGATGGCCATTGAACAATGTGAAAGTGTAATGATTTTCAAATAATTAACTCGGTTGTAGTGAGAGAGAGATATTTAATTTATTTGTTTTTATTAGTTTAATTTCGAAAGCTTATGAGAGGCTTCATACGCACTACGCTGTATTAAAGAAATAATGATAACTTGACTAAAACTATTGGTCGAAGTGGTAAAAATCAAAACGATACAAGTGATTTTTGTATTTACAATAATATGCTCTAGGATGGATGATTATTAGTTTTTTTTTCAATATTTAAAAAAAAAAAAATTTAAGGACAATTTTAAAACAAATATAAGTAGAGAAATGTATCGTTATCAAGTAATGTATGATTAAAAACAAGTTATTGACAAATAGTCACCCTTTACCCTGTTAGTTCTCATCACTAAATATTTTCTTATAAACGGTCCTTTTTACTGAATTAGCTGTCTAAGTTCTGAAATTATTGACTGCACTTTTACATGCCAAGGTTATTATAATAAGACCCTAAACAACAAAATCCGTTCATCGGTTTCGGAGATCTGAAAAATAGCTAAAATTGACAAAATAATTTTAAATGTAATAAATAAACTTCAATAATTTATTTTTAAATTCATATTTTTTGTATCTTCTTGACAAGTTCTTTCGAATGAGCTTAGAACCAACTTTCTATATATTTTAGTTTAATAGAAAATTCAAATCATTATACCGCGTGGGTATGAATTCTATCTACCTGTATATTATTATCTTATATTAAAGCCAAGACAATTATCTATTTTAAAACGTTTCTATGGAGGGGCTAAAAGACCGTTTTTTAATTAAGCTATTAGAAAATAAGATAGAAAAAAACTGTAAAAATACTAATGATTATAGAAAAATGTCAAAAAAACAAAAATCGGCCTTTTAATTATTCACCTAGAGAAAATAGTAAATTTTGATATGACAAAAAAAAAAAATGAAATCGGTTTGATTAGACACTTGAGAAAGTAAATTCGCATTTTTGTCTTTAATTGGATAAAATTTGGCACTTTCCTATAGCTCCATAATAATTAATAAAATCTAATAGGTACAAAAATATTAAACATTTTATTTTAGCAAAACAAAATTTATGACGTTTTCGTGGTATTGATGTACAGCGGGGTAAAATATTCGTGTATTTACTACTATTATTTTCCGATCATGGAAAAATAACAATCGTTTACAATAAGAACAACAATCTGCACGTTTACTGTGAGTACATTTATTAATAAAATAAATTCTAATAATATTTTTTTTAAATTAAGTTATTATTTCGTTGTTACAAGACGTATTTGTGAGTTAGTTGAAAAATAATTCGAGTTTGCATTAATCTGTTTATTTTTAGTACGGACAGTCGAAAGACTAAATCAATTATTATTATTAAGATTTTTAACCGGCAATCTAAAAACCTCTAGGAACTATGATGAAGTGAAAAATAATACAATTGCCCGCCCATGTAGGCTAAAGCAAGCGCCCCCCCCCCATAAGAGCCGCCAGTACGGGACTGAATTATTACTGTATCCAGAACGGCGCTCGACCGAAGATCTTCCGATGCGATAAACCCGCGATACTAATGTAGACACGATGCTTATGCACACACCAGTGAACAGACCGTGTTTTGACCAAATAAGACAATTCGAAAATAATTTAATTAAACAACGCACACGATGTTGTGAAACCTACACGTGCGGACGGAATGTGCCGCAGAAATGATGTCAGTTAGTAATAGTGAATATACAAACACTTCCTTCTCTAAGAATTTAGTTATTATTATTATTATTTAGTTTTTTTATTATAAAATATAACCGTAATAAGATATTGTGTACAAATATAGCTGTTAACGATAATAACGATTTAATATGCTAACAAGTTAAAGCCCGTCGCTGCTACGACGGTATGGAAATGATTAATTTAATTTTTTTTTTTTTTTTTTAATTTAATTGGTCAATTATTTTTAGTTACTATTAAAGCAAACAGCTCTTTCTCATTTGTCGGTTGTGTTTTCTATAGCTGTCCGGACAAAACAACAATAAGTACCACTATTGTACGTGAGCGGTTCGTCTTGCCAAAATCAATATACAATAATAATATTGTGCTGCTACATAATGATTTTTCTGTTCAGACCCGTCGAACGCACAAAATCATTTTAAAAACAAATTATTTACAATTGCCTGTACTTGCAGTGTTGTGCCGACCACTATTGGTTTCCAGTAATTTCTATTCCCTACACGTTGTGGTGTATAGTTGGTAAAAAAGACTTATTGGATTCTGGAAAACGAATCTGCGCTCGAGGTTGTTGTAATTACCCAGACAGGATCATAATAGTGAAAACAACGATAATACGGAGCATTTATTTAGTTGTTTCCCGTTTTCAAATGGAATAAGATAAATAAAAAAAAAAACTATCTCATTCGCGAACTGTGTTTAAGGGCAATAATAATTACAGTCCAGCTGTATTTGTGTGTGGTCGTGTAGATATTTTTTCAGTAAGACGTGCCCTATTCAACAACATAAAGGAACAACATATTTACAGACCATACGAGTGTAGCATGCACAGTAGGCTCGCTTTCGTCGGTATAATCCCAACACTGTCGGCGGTGTTTGATGGGAAAACACCGGAAACAAACGTTATCCGGTGAGATTTTTTTTTCTTCATATTTTCATTCGGCTTACACACAAATGTTCGCCAAGAATTTCTACGTGGCAATGCTATTCAATAATAACAAATGTTCTGCCGCTCCCGAGTTGTGATGTAATCGAAGTACAATTCCAAACGGTTTATTTCTAACATAATATAGGTAATAAATACCCAAGTAGATACTCTAATGTACGGGTTTAACGTTAAAGCGCAATACGTTAATACACATTGAGTCTGGTCATCAATAAAGATATTTTTAATTAGCATTGGCACTAAGTTAAGCTAGTGCTAGACCCTAACCAAAGTTATAACATCATCTACCATGTGTTTATTTACCAATACTGTGTACGTACTTGCTCGTGTAACAGTAATTATTACTATTATGTATGAGGCTTAAAACTTAAAAGGGAACGTAATGTGATAAGAATACAGTATCTCTCTCTCTCTCCTCTTTTTTTTTTTTTTTAAGATTCTGCGACCGAGGCGGAAATACATAAGTTCCGGCGGACGATGTGTGCATGTGCAATCGCGTGTCCAGAGAAGATGTTTATCCGCTTTTAAATAATATAACATAATAATATGTACACCAATTATACGCGGTTTCCACGTCGGGCCCGTTCATTGTTTTCGGTAATTAAATGCCGCGTGTGTGTACGTTTAAATTAGTTCACAAAACAACAGCGACGGTGCAGACATAATAATATTATACACACATTAACTAGGAAAGGAAATCGCATCCGAACGAAGCACAAACCAGTTTATGTAAACGGAAAAAGATCCCCAAAAAAAATTACATAAAACCGTTGAAACCGTAATGTATCTGTTATGCACACAACGCGGTGTTTGAAATGGACCGTGAAACTGGTCGGTCCGCCGCCTCGTCCTTGCACCGAAGAACATGATAAATGATATCGTCCCATTAGCCGGTATTATAATATTGTAT